TGGCTAGCTGGTCATGTGACCGGGTGGCCATGGCTATGTGTATAGGGACTACTCAGAGGGCTGAAAAGTCATTTCTGACAGGTCCTCACACTTTTGACTGGTCCTCACACTTATGACCATCCTCACATTTATGCCCGTGCAGTATTCTTAACAACCATGTCACTCATTTCACAACTGCTTCTCTTCACCATGATGACAAGATAGGGCAAAAATGTAAAATGTGAGGACAGTCGTAAGTTTGAGGACTGGACAAAAGTGCGAGGATCAATCAAAAATAACTTTTTCAGCCCTCTGAGTAGTCCATATGCACAAAAGGACTAACCAGAGGGCTGAAAAAAGTCATTTCTGACAGGTCCTCGCACTTTTGACTGGTCCTCACACTTATGACCATCCTCACATTTATGCCCATGCAGCATCCTTAACAACCATGTCACTCATTTCACAACTGCTTCTCTTCACCATGGTGATAAGATAGGGCAAAAAACATAAAATGTGAAGACAGTCGTAAGTTCGATGACTGGTCAAAAATAACTTTTTCAGCCCTCTGAGTAGTCCATATGCATAAAAGGATACAGCAATAGAGAGGGATGAAGGAAGGGAAGGGAAATTAGAGAAAGGAAGAGGAAGTAGGGAGGAGAAGAAGAGGGGGGGAAGAGAAAGTAAGAAGGAAAGAAAAGAGAGAGGTGGTAGGTTTGAGGAGAAAGATTGCTGTACAATAAAAAAGATGAAAGGGAAGAAAGCCAACCCCAAACAAATATAAAGATATTAAGATAAAGAATGAATTGTTAAACTTTAAAGAATAAAAGAGAACAAATATGAATAAATAGCAATAATTAGAAACACACATACAAACATACAATGTATTTTCTTTGAACAGAGTATTTGGCCAGTTCACAAATTTAAACAGTGTTTAGTCATTTCAATTTAATTTACAATTTCTATATTTCCTTTTTGCCATATTTATTCCTCATCTATTTTTTTTAAAAAACAATATTACCCTTCATCCTCATCTCTAATCTTAATCAAATTCAATTTTTCCCTTCTATTCTATATTATACCCCTTCCCATTGTCATCTATTTTTATATCCATCCTCACATTGTTTAATTATGTAATTATGTAATACAGTTGTTTAATACAAATTCAACATTTTAATATAAATCAATTAGTTATAAAACTATCTTTTTTGTATATTAATCAATATGAACATGAATATTCCAATTATTTCCATGCAATCCAATTTCTTACAAATCAATTAATTATATTTACCAATAATAATAAACCAAATAATTTCCCCCATATATTCCTCTGAACCACAACTTAAACATTTCTGCTTTCAACACAATATACAATTAATAGTATCTCAATTCAATTATTACAATTCCCTAGTTATATACAGCTTTTTTTTCTTTTGTGTTTTAAAATCTTGAACTCTCCTCCTAAATTTCCCATTGTTTGCAGTTTTTCACCTACCTTTTTTGGGGAGGAAAAATAAAAATAAAAATAAATCTCTCTCTGCCTCATTTTGTCACGTTCCACCAAAGATCCTGGTTTCGGTTTCGTTTTTGCAGCTTAGCTAGGGGAAAAAAAAACTGCTTCAGGAACTCTTTACACTGATTGCCTGTAGGGCGGCCCTTTGAAGCCCCGGGCAAGAGTTTAAACAGTTTTTTTTTCTTCTAGCCATCAGCTGGGGCTCAAGAGGCAGCGGGACTGAGGAGGCAGAATGAAAAATCGGGACTTTTTTGAAACGCCGCGGGACGCGGGACAAATTGCTAAAAAGCGGGACTGTCCCGCCAAAAGCGGGACGTCTGGTCACCTTAATCTATCTATCTATCTATCTATCTATCTATCTATCTATCTATCTATCTATCTATCTATCTATTGGTTCGATTTAATGCCGCCCTTCTCCGGAGACTCAGGGTGGCTTACAATGCATTTTAAGTAATAGCCTTCATACTTTTGTATATACCTGCTTAGTAGGGCTTCCCCCCCCCAAGCGGTGTTCTTTTTTTATACAAAGTCAGTTTATTGCCCCCACAATCCGGGTCCTCATTTTACCTACCTCGGAAGGATGGAAGGCTGAGTCAACCTTGAGCCTGGTGAGATTTGAACTCGCAGTAATTGCAGGCATCTGGCAGCTAAGTGCTACTTAACAGCACTTTAGTCTGCTGCACCACTAAGGCTCTATTTCCCCTTTTTCTTGCTCTTTCCCTTTTCCCTTCCCTATTTCCCCAACTATTTACTTTTGTATTTTCTTTGTATGCTATATTATAAACTAATAAACATGTTAAAAGAAAGATTTAAATATATAGACTTACTCGTAGTTAGCACCATTCCTATAGCTGAAGCGATCTTCCATTTTGAATTCAGATTTTACAGTCTTGTTCACCAGCCAAAGTTTCTAGCACAGATGGATAGCCATATAAACTGGATTAATAAGTAAATATTCAAGACTTGCATTGTAGAAATCATTTCTGCTATTGTGACTGAAGCATTATATTTCTTCTCAACATTCTAAATAGCCAGACCTTAATCTAAATTTAATTCTAACTCTAAAAAAATAGTACTTTTCCAGGAAATTTGGTAGCACGGTCAATTCATCTGACCTAGTCTTGATCATTAATCTGACTGGTAGCAGGATTCATGTTCCCAAACTTTCGGGCGTACAGCCTGAATTTTAATTAGAGATGCCAGAGACTGATTCCAGGACTTCCTGTATGCGAAACCTGTTATTCCTACCAAACTAAAAAACACAAAATAGTCATTCCCTTTAATAGGGGGGGAAAAAACCCATCACAGAATTTGTTTTACCTGCAAATAATTTTAAAGCCTTTTTCCTTGTACGTACTTTAGTACTGGTGCATCTCTTTCCATGGCCATCAATGTTATTACATTTTTCCTTTCTACCTGAGATCTTTCACCCTTCTTAAATTACTGTAAAGAATAAAATTAGTGTAAGATAAAGACACCCTCCAGTTGAGTAGTTGGCTTTCTTCTCTGTGTTCTGTAGAGCCTTCTTGTAGGACTTTTAAAATGCTTTAAAAAAATTCCTAATCTGGTCAATAGACCTGGAATTCCCAGGTGGTCTCTCCTTCCAATTATTAATCTAAGCAACCTGCCTTAACCAAGATTAGCCAAGATCCATTAAAGGTTATTGAAAAGACCAACATTCTTTGAGGTTGGGTTTGGCTCTACTTACGAAGAAGTGAACTTGAGAAATCAGTGCTCTTATTCCATCAAGAGGGGAGGGGAGTAGGATTTAATAAAGCAGCTTACCTTCTGAATTGTTGTGGTAACAGGTGGTTTGATAGAACAAACACAGGATTTCCCTCTGCTAAGCACAGAATCAGGAAAAAGACCACAGAAAGAGTTGTATCTGTGCCTGGAATATGGTTTCAAGTTCAGACTTTGCCCCTCTGCTCAAAGGAAGATTAATACACAGAATAAAGAGAAGTATTCAGAGAGCGAGAGAGCAAATAATAGGCATTGAAGTTTCAGTGCTGCATGACGCAGGAGTCACACCCTGCCCTTTGATCTCTTCTCTGCATAGATAAATCATCCATCTCCTTGTGTGCTGAACCTACCAGAGCTACTGGAGAGCAGCATGGCTTAAAAAGGAGGTAAAAATGTATACAAACTGACAAAAGTAAGAAAAAGAAAAGAAAAAAAGTCAAAGAGACAGCCAAAAGCACAAGAAAGGGAAAAGTAGAAGAAAAATAGAAAAGAAGAACGATACAAAGAAGTAGCTTCCTATCTTTTTTACAGCAGTTATACGTGCAATTATAAATTTCCCTTTTACTCTATGATTACCATATACTCTTGTCTTTCTATAATCCATCCTGTTTAATCACCAAAACCATAAATCATAAATTCATATTTTTCTAATTCATGCACAATATCTATAAGGGGTTTCCTGTCATCAATAAACATAAATATTCTTTTGTCTCTCGTCAAAGAGGTCAATTTAGCCATTTTAGCAAGTTCCATCTTTTTCATCAACCATTCCTCCATTGTGGGTAATGTTGAATTTCCCCCTTTTTGTGCATAAAACCATCTTGCTACGATGGGCACTTTTCTTGAGGCAGTGGGGTTTGAGTCCTCATGTTAAGCTGAGTTGTGGGGTTAAGATGCCGTTCAAATGAATTTCTCCCTGAACTCCTTTGATCTGATCCTTGGACTGGTGTGGGAGTATCCTGATTTGTGGTTAACCATTACACCTGCAATGGCTTATTGGCTGACAACCATAAATCATTGTGAGCATATTGCACCTGTCTTGCAGATCCTTTATTGATTGCTGTTGGGCTCAAACTATTAGCCTAAGTTATAAAGCACCATATGGCTTGGCCTCTAGCTACTTCTTACGAGTACATTGTCAATTAAGCATGCCATGTCATGATAAACTTATGGCAAAAATTGTGTCACCCGAAGGAGAACTGTTCCAGGAAACTGGAACAGTTAAGCACAGCTTTAAGCTTTCTTAACTGCGGGCTGAATATGAGATATAGGCAATGTCATTGGGATGTGTCAAATAAAAACTTATCACTGCATGCTTGTGCTGCAGTTAAGAGGATTCAAATATGAGCCAATAATGTTTCCCAGAGTTATCCAACCCTTGTTATAGTGGTGAAATCTGAATCGGTTTACTACTGGTTTGCTGGCTGCGTATGCGCAGTGCACGCCAAAAGGAGGCATGCGGTAAATAGAACAGCATGCGAGGGGGGTGTGTGATCAGCTGTGGTGCACAATATTTTTTTTTACTTTTAAGTCCACCGGCCAGTCCACCGGCCGGTCCACTAGCCACCGGCCAGTATGCTCGCACAGAGAGGGCCTCCTCAGGGTGCCGTCCGCCAGACAGTGTCGGCTGGCGACCCCCAGGGGGAGAGCCTTTTCTCTGGAGGCGCCTGCCCTCTGGAACAACCTCCCCCCAGAGATACGTACAATACCAGACCTCTGGACTTTTCGTCGGGCCTGAAAACTTATTTATTTCACCTAGCTGGGCTGGCTTGATCCCATAGCTTTGGTTAATTTTAATTGATTTTAATTGGGTGTTTTAAATTGCGGCCAAAAATATTTAATTATTTTTAAACTGTTTTTAAATTTTGTGTGTTCTGTTTTATTCTGGCTGTTCACCGCCCTGAGTCCTGCAGGAGAAGGGCGGTATACAAATTAAAACAATAATAAAATAGTAAAAGCATTGCTTTTAAAAGTAAAAAAAGAGCTTCTGACGCTGCTCAGCTGGGATCGTCAGAGGCTTTTTTTAACCTTTTAAAAGCATTTTTTCTACAACCTCTTCGGCCAAAGAGGTTGTAAAAAAAATGCTTTTAGAAGGCTCTGACGATCCCAGCTGAGCCGCACAATCATCAAAGACTTTTTTTTTTACTTTTAAAAGCATTTTTTCGGCCGAAGAGGTAGAAAAAATGCTTTTAAAAATAATAATAAAAAAGCCTCTGATGATTGCGCAGCTCAGCTGGACATGGGGGGGTGGGGGCGCAGGGATTTTTGCTCTGAACCACCCACTGCCATCGCTACCGGATCAAGTGATATGGTCTGAACCGGGAGCATTTCACCCCTGCCTTGTTATGTGAAAAATAACAGGTGTGAGGATAAGCTTTATATTTTTTCAGTGATGACTGGGTCATGCTGTATTCCACAACAGTAGAAGTACTTAAGCTTTTATTCTAAAGTGGTAAAAAAATAACCATATAACATGAGACAGCAATTAAAGAATATTAAAACAAGACACCAATTAAGCATATTTTAAAATACAGTAAGTCAAGAAGACTTTATATTCTTTCTGACAGACGGGGGACCCTAAAGAGATGACGGCAGGTGGATTCTTTCAAAGGCAGCAAATGTGCAGCACTCATTCAGTTAGGTCTACATCTAATCCCAGGGGGATTTCTGATTATTTTATTAAGCCCAGTTGCTTTTTAATGGTTTAATCTCAGTTGATTACTGGTGGCAATGGGCCACCTCAAAGTTGAGGAGCATCTGTTTCTCGAGGTTAATTGGAATTGAAGATGAGAAAGATCATCCTACTTACACAGGTATCCCACCAGAGACTATGTAGAACAAAGTAAAATATATGTGTGAGTTAAGGTTACTGGAGATGCACAGGATTAGGTAGCAAGAAGGTCCTAATTCTGTATGACTCCAAGATGTCCTGGATCAGTCCAAACAGAAATTGACTGGTAATGGTAATGGGCTGTTTTGAGAGGGGGACTGCATGGTGCAACTCAGCTGTTACTTGAGCAGCTACTAAGCACAGCTTAGCCTGTTTCTAACAAGAATCTGACAATCAGCTCCAAGGAGCAGTGGCTGATTTAATAAATGGCTAGAGCAGAGGTCAGCAATCTGTGGCTCTGGAGCCGCGTGTGGCTCTTTCACCCCTCTGCTGCGGCTCCCTGTCACTCAAATATGCATCACAACCGCCAATGTGCAACACCTGCCAGGACGCGATATATTGAGCTTTTCAACCCCTGGTAGGCCAACCATGGATAAATCCAAGAAAAGAAAAGTTTCAGAAGAAAACAGAACATTTAACTGAACTACATATGCTAGTTTTGTGGCCGCTCAAGAAATAGTCAGGCACAGGAATGATTTTGTGGCTCCTGGTGTTTTCTTTTCTGTGGGAAACTGGTCCAAATGGCTCTTTGAGTGTTTAAGATTGCAGACCCCTGGGCTAGAGTGATGGATTTAACCAACTGTTAAAATTTGGAAGTGTTTTATCTTTAAATGCAGATATGTGTGACACTTGTGCAAAACCAGAAAAACTTTTGACAGATGCCTAAACCTGCTGGTACACCCATCTCTTTGGGCCCCAGCTGGAGTTTTCCTATAATCTGATGATACATGGAGAGAGAAAAATAAGTTTGGGAGTATCCTCAATCCTCATTCTTAATGTATCCTGTACACCAGGGGTGTCAAACTCAAGGCCTGTGGGCTGGATCTGGCCTGTGGGGTGCTTAGATCTGGCCAGTGGGGCTGCCCTGGGAAACAGTGAAGAACTGGCCCTCAGTCCCTCTGCCAGCAAAAACACATCTTGGGAGGGCTGTATGCGGCCCTCTCAAGTTCCATTTTCGGCTGTGATGGCCTCCTGCAACCCTCTGCCAGCGAAAATGGAGCTCTATGGCCCTCCCAAGCTCAGATTATGCTGGCGCCCCCAACACGAGTGATATTGAGTTGGCCATGCCCACCCTCACCACACCCACCCGGCCCCTGAGGTCAAACACAACCAGTGGTGAAATCCAATTTTTTTTACTACCGGTTCTGTGGGCGTGGCTTGGTGGGGGTGGTATGGCTTGGTGGGCATGGCAGGGGAAGGAAACTGCAAAATCTCCATTCCCACCCTACTTCAGGGGAAGGATACTGCAAAATCTCCATTCCCATCCTATTCTGGGGAAGGATACTGCAAAATCTCCATTCCCACCCCACTCCAGGGGAATGATACTGCAAAATCTCCATTCCCATCCTACTCCAGGGGAAGGATACTGCAAAATCTCCATTCCCACCTCACTCCAGGGGAAGGATACTGCAAAATCTCCATTCCCACCCTACTCCAGGGGAAGGATACTGCAAAATCTCCATTCCCTCCCCACTCTGGGGCCAGCCAGAGGTGATATTTGCTGGTTCTCCGAACTGCTCAAAATTTCCCTACCGTTCTCCAGAACCTGTCAGAACCTGCTGGATTTCACCCCTGAACACAACCCTGATATGGCCCTCAATGAAATTGAGTTTAACACCCCAGCTGTGCATAGTAAATAAGGATGGCGCCATTTGCTGGCATCAAGCTTCTGGCAGGATAAGGATCATCAGAACTCAGCAAATATTATGCTGATTGAATTGATTGTAGGATGAAAGACTGGGAGGCCTTTAGAATCAATTATGAGAAAGAAGTCTTAGTAGCTATAGCTATCTACAAACACAGGTAGATTTTGACTTACAACAGTTCGTTTAGTGACTTATCACCTGCAGTGATTCACTTAATAAACTGTGGCAAGAAAGATCATAAAATGAGGCAAAACTCACTTAATAAATGTCTCACTTAACAACAGAAATTTCGGGCTCAATTGTGGTCGTACGTTGAGAATTACCTGTAGAACGCTTTCACACAGTATCCGTTTTCATTTCTCAACTCTAGCAACACATCTGGAAATTTACTACTTTCACTCTTTCTGATCTCAGAATGCTGAGAAGAAGAAAGGAATACAATGAGGCAATCAGTGCTCCTGTTGACCAATATGAGAATGTAAAACATTAAAAAAAAATGCTTGGCAGCTCCTGAAGTTAAAAAAACAAAACTTTTACTATCCCTCTAAGCAGAAAGTCAGATGCTTTCCAAGAAGAGAAAGCCTAAGGGGGAAAAACATGTCTCTGCTTGGACAGCCTGCCTATCAGGATAGGATGGAATCAATATACATTTCCTTTTATGTAGATCCACCTGGAGGACAATTCCTGTAGTGCAAAAAATTCAGCAAATTTTCTCCTTTAGATTTTATGGACGGGTAGAAGTTGACAAGGGCAATAATGACTTTGAGTAAAGTTTCCCACTCCAGGAAAAGCAGCAGCTTGTGCACAAGTAGTTGTGCAAAGGCTTTCATTACCAGAATCTCCAGGAGCAGTGAGACCAGCAGTCCAGTTTTGTCTGGAAAAGAGATATTCCATTTAGAGTCAAATATAATCTATCTTGGTCTCAATTGCCACACAATCCAAATACACATTCTCTGTGTAGCATTCAATTTATAGCTGTTTTCCTCCTTCTGACCCTCAGAGCCTCCAAAAACTATGTCATGACCTCCACTCCATTTTTTTTTTAATTTGATTTATATGCCGCCCTTCTCCGAAGACTCAGGGCGGCTTACAATGTGCTCAGCAATAGCCTTCATCCTTTTTGTATATTTATACAAAGTCAGCTTATTGCCCCCACAACTGGGTCCTCAATTTACCTATCTTAGAAAGGATGGAAGGCTGAGTCAACCTTGAGCCTTGGCGAGATTCGAACCCTGCAGTAATTGCAGGCAGCTGGTCTTAATAACCAGCTTAATAACAGGGTGCCTTAAACCCCTGTACTACCAAGGCTCTTTCTTATCTGACGCAGAGTAGAGAGATATATCATTTGCATATTATCTTCTTGTGCTGATGAATAACGTCTCCACTTCATGGAGCAATTAA